CCTGCGGGGAGCCAAACCTCGGTCTGAACCAGGGTCTGCTGTTGTATTGGTAAGGATTGTGGGCATATGCAGCTAAATTCTGTCCAGTCGCATTGGGATAAGGATTTGAGGCTTGGTTCGGCGCGAATGGTACATTAGATAAGTTTGGCAGATTGGTATTTGGGTACGCTTGGTTTGGTGCAGGTGTGCTTGATGGGGAGAAACTAGATTGGGGGGTTTGAGTTGCACTTCCGTAGTTTTGGTTCGGTGTGGAACCATTCCCGGGGTACGTTGCTGGAGGTTGGGTTGTTGGGGGAGTGACGTAGCTTGGAGCTTGAGTACTGTTGCCATTAGACGAGCTGTAAGTCTGTCCATTAGTAGTCTGGTTGTTGGTGAAGTTGGTCTGAGTAGCGGTGGTGTCGGTTGAAAAGTTTTGTCCATTATTCTGGACCACTGTCGTTGAAAGTCCGTAACCGTCTTGTGACGACGAAGATATATAACCGGCTTGGTTTGAAGCTCCATTGGAGTTGTCACTGTCTGCTGCCGCGGTTTGTCCATTGCCGTTCGTCGGCGTGTCAGGGGTAGATTGGTTTGTAGATATGGAATATTGTAGGCTGGCGTTGTTCGGTGGGACGCTGACTGTGCTAGTGTTTGATTGGACCATGTATTGTGGGGGTATTCCCGTATACTGTGATGTTGGTGTGATAAAGGTGGAGTTTTGGGGTAGAACTTGATGGACCGGCTGCGGTTGAGACACCGGTATGGTTTGAGCGGGGTTGGCGAGTGGGGAGGTGGGGGGTGCTTGTACTATTGGTATAGTTCCTGCCATAGAGAGGCCGGGATTAGCGATCTGTTGTCCGGCGAGTGCGGCGTTCAGCTGTTGCGCTGTGAGTTGCGAGTTTAAGTTGATGCCAGCCGGCATGTATTGAGAGTTCGGTGGCATGTTAACTGGCATGAGGGGTACGTTGTACTGCATGCCGGGGGGAAGGCCAAGCTGGTTGGGCATCACTGTCACATTCTGTCCAGGCTGTAACATTTGCTGTCCGATGAGACCGGGCGGTAACCCTCCTTGGACCAGATTGGGATGATTCGCTGGTATCATGTACACTTGACTGTTAGGTTGGCCGATGACTGTCGACATTTGGCCGATATTGAGTGGGTTCTGTAGTACAGTCATGCCTTGAGGTACTGTTATCATTTGCACATTCTGAGCTGCGCTTTGTATTTTATTTGTCAAGTCCTGCTTCTGTCCGTCTTTTGAAGTTTGTATCTGTATTGCGTTGCGATCTATTTGCTTTATGTACATTCCTGTACCGTCCTGTGTGATGCCCGATGTTGAGACGCTGTTGAAGAGAACATATAAACTGTAGTAATACTATCGAAAACTTGTTTTCTTGTTTTCTATTACTCTATTTCATAAATATACTAACTTAGTTTGTTGTCCAGATGACACATGTATAATTGTTCCGTGAGTCGGATTTATTTTCATTCCCATACTAACGACTGTGTTGTCTCTAACTGCGGAATTAATAGAATTATGTAACTTATCGAATTTATAAATATAAACGTTTTGTCAATACAGTGATTACAAGCAGTAACAACTTATGAAGTAGTTAATACTAAAAATACTTGCTACTGCTGCTGTTACCAGCTTGCTGCAACTACGATTAGTAGTAATAAAATTTGTAATAAAATAAAATCAACGATGGCAGAACATCCTCTTGCATCTCGCAGAATATAAAACAGTATTTCAAAATGACGCAATAAAATTAGAAAATTACGCAAATGCATTAGAAAATTACGCGTGTGCAGTATACCATACGATGCAATATGAAAGAAATATGGACGTCACCCGAGACATATCACAATCCCCTCGAAATAGGTTAGGTCATCGGCTGGCGACTCCTATGACCAGAAATACGCAAATCATGCAAATAATTAAATTACAAAATAACGTTTATACGCGTTAAAATATTAAAAATATGTAATGTAATTACGCAAATTTTCGCTTTTCATAATGTTACACAAGATAAAGTTTTAGAATAACTAGAAAAATGTTAATTCAAATATTTCTGCAACCTCATAGCTGCGCTGCAAAATAGACAATATAACTTAAAAAAAAATCGGACAACCCATTGACAAAGGCCGGCACCCTTTAGATAAGCAATACTGACTGAAATAAAAGAAAAATATTCTTAAGAGTTGAGAAGATTCTGTGAAAAAAAAAATAAACAAATGAAAGAAACAATGTATGTGGATTTGAAAATGATGAACTGGCACGAAATACAAAATAAGGCTGCAAATAAAAAAGAAACACAAATTCTTCCATTTTCGATTTCCAAATTCGCTGCACTAAATTCAAAAATCAATGAGTAGTTATTTTTCTCATGTCTTCAAATGGATCAGGAACCAAATAAAATACAAAGAAATAATTTGAAATATCCTGTGAAATAAAGCATTTAATTAAAATTTAAAACAGCCGTTTAATGGCATTAATGCCTCTCCTAATAAATCTGCTGCTGATGAAAAAAAAAAACTTAATTCGTTATATAAAATTACGCATGAGAAAATAAATGATTGAAAAGACGCATAAACATTAACAGTAAGTAAAAATCAAATCGAGCTAACTAGAGTAAAAATATTAATAAAAAAGCGCCAAAACATTTATTTACGCAATAAAATTGACTAGAAATAGTAAACAATTACGCAAAAGTATAAAATTGTTTTTAAAATGAACAACAAGGGCAATATAAGCTACTACGAATCGCTATAAACGAAGCTTTAACCTATAAAGAACATTTTTACAAATAATTAAAACACATAAAGCACATCAAATAGAATAATACTGAAACACTTTGTATCTGAGAAAAAAAAAAACTTTACTAGGAAACTTTTTTTTATTATAACACGTTCAATGCCACAGAGTTCATTTTGGTACATTACAAGGACATTCATCATCATCATCATCATCACCTATACGTCCCCACCGAGGGGCTCAAAGCCTACCCTAAGTATGGAGTGACTAGGCCATAGTCAAGCTCACTGAATTTCTTCGTCGATATGTGCAGGAATCACGATGTTTTCTTCACCGTAAGAACGTCGGGTAAATTATGTGTTAAGAATTCTAAAAATCGAAATACAGTGGCGTTGAAAGTGTTAAATGGGATACAAAGTGCGTGTAAATCTTCAAGTACCTGCAGTGTTCGTCCAGGAGCGGGAATCTCTCGTCGAGCTCTTGTCCTGGCTTACATGCGACCTGCGGCATCATAATGCTTCAATACACGACATATTATTTTATTACAAAAAACAAAAAAAAAGGAAATACTATTATGGCCGAATAGTGGAACGACATTTAAAAATCTTATGTAGGTTGGTGGATTTATAAAATATTCTTGAGTTACAAAACCATCGCAGAAGTGGAAGTCTTCATTGTAAAGAAAAATAATTTAGAAGAAACGCCAATTGCATTTTTTACTATCATTAGACCTTCACAAAAGAGTATGTAAACGATATTTTTAGTAAACAAATCTAATCAGTATCGCTCAATCGAAGAATATTAGAAATTTCCTAATAAGAGTTCCAAATAAAATTGGTAAATGTGAAACGGCATTTTACAGCTGAAAGAAAAATAAATTAACAATAAAATAAAAAAAAAAAACTCTTTCAATAAAAAACTGAAGTAGACATGGAATGCCACATGCCCAAACTTTTACACCCTTCTCACTTGTTTTTTCCATTCTGTCAGCTCTTAAGAGTTATAGCGTGATGTTATATATCCTATAACCTTCTATAATAATTGGGTTGTTAAATGTTAAAAGATTTTTTAAAATCCTACATGTAGTTTCTGAGATTTGGGTGAACAAACTATTAGTATAGATAATTCTTACCCAGCTGGTGCTATAGGTCTCAATTGCAGTTGACTAGGAGTACCATCTGATAATCTTTTTTGACCTCGGGATTCTTGAGTACTCTTCGTTTGTGTGGAATTCTATGAATATTTAAAAAAAATGTATTAACAAGGGTTTCAATTTTCTTTTCCAGTAGAAACAACTAATTAACTAAAGGATTTAGCTTTAAATGAGGTATTAATTTAATAGTTATATCCGATTTTATATCAAGACCAATACTAAAAGATATTATGTACCATAACCAATGATTATGAGTAAGCAGGAAAGTGTTCAACAATCAATCCAACCAAGTTAAACATGGCATTGGGTGTTAACATTAAGTCATGTATACAATTGTACATTTTTTAATAAGTCCGCACAGCCGCTAGCATCATATGAACTTAAAAGAAAAAAAACTATGCACAAAAGCATTCCAAACCTGCAACAAAAATATAAGCAAAGGAACAATGAAAAGAAACTGTGAATTTAACACATTAAGTGCTAATGACTAGTCTTGGGAAGTACAAGTACGATGTACTAAAAAGTAATGTTACTCGGCACTGTACTAAAAGTAACAAGACATTTGGCACTTTTAGTACTGTACTACACGATATCGGTGTTCGCTTCTTCGTTGTTTGATTTGATTGTATATTTGCTAGAAAGCATTACCTTTAGTAATAAGAATCAAAAGTGGATAAAATTAATTATAACTTAAATTTATTTTCGCTAATAACATATGTTTGCTTGCTTAAAATTTGATGTGAAGTAATCTATAGATTTCATTATATTCTATTCATGTTATTGTGTTCTCACAAATCTGAAGTACTAAAAAGTGTACTAGTACATTTACCCAATTGTACTAGTATGGTACGCACTTGCAGATGTCCGATTAAGCCCAAGACTACTAATGAGTGGTGAGTATAAAAATCATATAAGCATTCAATGTGTTAAAGCATAAAGGGATGATCAACTTTGTAAAAATGCTCACAGAAATAATTTGTGGAGAAGATGCTTGTCCACTTGATATTATATTTATGAGTGAAGCACTGCACCCTATTGGCTGTTGGGAAAAACTCATAGTTAAATATAATAAATATATTTAAATATACTTTATTTTTATCTAATATTGTTCAACTAATATGATAAAATATAAATTTCTATATAATTATTCAGATTTCTCATATTTCAATATTGTAATCTTGGCATGGGAATTATTTTTCACCAACAAATTATGCAATAGTATGAACAAATCTATAAACATATACCTTTTGGTTAAATTGCATTATAGTGCCAGTTGTCTGCAGCTGTTGTAGTTGTGTTGCCGACAATGGTAGGGAAGTCTGTTGAAATCCACCTGCAGGTGCTATCTGAAAGAACAAGAAAAACCTTGCCATTTTTACAAAGACAAATATCATACTAATTTTCACTTAATACAAACTGCATTGATATAACAGAAACTAATGTATGTGTTTTTCCAGACTATGTCCTACATCATAAATAGAAGTGATAATTTTTCTATAGAATGTTACCAATAATAAAACTCAAAATTACTTGATGGCATATCTATGACCTCATTAACAATACAAATATTATAAAGAGGAAAGATTTGTATTTTTGTATGTATTGAAATAACTCAAACTACTGGGCCGATTTTAAAAATTCTTTCACCGTTAGACAGGTAATTTATCTGTGAGTAACATAGGCTATATATTTTTTAATTGCACGCGGGCGAAGTCGCGAGCAACAGCTACTAATCGACATTTAGAAAAGTAAAGATTCGCCATCTCTGTTTTAATAATAATCAAAACTCACTGAAACAAACTGTTGAGGTTGTAAATTCGCTAATCCTGCTTGATTAGATGCAAACTCTTGAAATTGTTGATATGGTATCAACATAGTCTGAGAGCCTGGTACGGTCCACTGCACAGTATCAGCACCTTGTATATGGTACTTCAACTCTTTGTCTCCTTTATCGGTGCTATAGAGAATTTTCTGTGAAGCACTTGTATTCTGTGCTGCGCAGACCACCGGTGTTGCTGTTGCTGAGCTCACTGTTGTCGAATCACCCGTAGCTAAACTGGCTTGAGGGAAATTTAAGCCATTCGGAAGTATCATTGACATTGATGATGGGACACCACTAAGCCGTAGTTGTGTGACATTCATTGGTTGCATATTTGAGATGTCAACAATTTGTGTGTGCCCAAAATTCGGCTGTTGGAGTGTACCTAATTGTTGTGCGATAGGTAGAGATGTGAAGTTGGTGTTAGATACTTGGACACCCGGTTGAACTATTGGTATTAATTGGCCACTTTCTTGATTTAATACATATTGCTGTTGAGGTAGTAATTGTAAGACAGTTGGTTGACGGACTGTCATAAGGGGAGTGCTTGCTGGTGCCATACTGACGACTGGTGGTAGTACAGTGGGATGGGCTGATGAAGTCAACGAGGAAGGTGTTGATAAAGCCACGGTTACTACTGGTGGTGGAACAGACGGTGGAGCTGTGGTAGTGGTCAAAGTAGGTGGTGGAACGTTTAGAGGTGGCGGCGGACCCCCCGCCTGCGCTGCACTCCACTGAGCTAACTCAACTCGTATAGTCTCAATAAGATTCTGAGCCAGAGATCGCGCAGCCGCTAACGCTTCCGATCTCGTATGGTGAAGAGCCAAATGCAAAGGTTCAAATTTATCGCTTTTCAGAATAGCAACCACTCCCGTCTCCGATCGTATGTATTCTAAGTTGGTGCCATTCTGAAATTATAAGATGAATTGTATTTTTCATAAAGTAATCAAAAAATATTAAGATCGATGATTTTTTTACTTACTGGACCAAGCAAACGACTTTTTATATCAAATGCGGCTGGCGCGTTGTCCAAGCCTATGTAAACTTTATCTATTAATCCTCCGGACATAATTTAGCCACTTTAATGATTAAATTATGAAGATTTTATCTTATTTTTAATAAATGCATCTTTTCACGAAACGCGTGTTTTGACAGGAATGCCATCGACAATACAGAGTTGTAAAAATCAATATTACAACAGATAAAATAAAATTATTGTCTGTGGAAAAGCGATAAAGCCGTGGTAATAAATTTCAAGCTGCTTTTTATCTAAATGATTGAGCATAATTTACGGTTTTTATTTTGGTTATTTAACTAAATATATTATTTATTTCACACTGAAAATCCTATCGTCACAATGTTTGTTGAAGTTGTAGTAGAAACAGTAATATTCAATCAATTTACAGCTCTCCAAAACTTATTTGCATCTCGCTATTTACTTCGAATGATCCTTAAGTTTTGCTTCTAATCACATAAAATGAAAGTTTATCATAGTAATTTAAATTGGAGATAAATGTAGATGATTGTGTGGGTCATATTTAAAATAAAAACACAAAATTGGTTAACCATTTATATTTCTACAAAAACATGATATGCCATTTCAATGTTAATATAAGTTTTATGAAAAAATATAACAATGTTAATCTATTTTCTCCTTTAAAGTTTTATGTATACATTTGAATTATTGTTAGATATACTTTGTCATGTTTTCACACTTCTAACTACCGATTCACAGATCTATAAGGCTAATGAAAAATATGCATAAAGTGTTACAATAACCGTGAGTTTCCATTGTCAAAATACTTGTACAAAGATCAATAAGAGTTTGGGAAAGAAATATGAACAGGGACAAATTAATTTTATGTGGTGGGAGTACTAACCTTTTTTTAATTTCTTTCTTAAGTTATAAGATTAAAATATTTTTAATATTTGTTAAATCACGTGAAATTCTATATTTTTAGTGAAAACTTAATTGTTATAAAAGTAGCTGCTACTAGAAAAAAAATAATGACCAAAAATAGAATTAAATTTATCATTTATGGATCAAATTATACATATTAAAACATTAACAAAAACATACCAAATTGAGAAAATCCCGGTATCTAAGTAAACCAAGTTACTTTTTCATAACATAATTATTGAGTAATAATATCTCAATAATTTAACTTATAACTACAAAACCAAACTATTATAAACACTAAAATACAGAACTAAGGTATAGGACTAGAAGATTAATAAAATTTTGATGCAAATAAAATTTCATGCAAATTAAAAAACATATTTCTAAATCAGGTATCAGTTGATAATACTATCTGCTGTACTCAGAATCATTAATTAACGAAGCGACTTAGTGTAGATTTATTATGAGATTTAAAACAAGCAAATATGTAAGGACTACTTTGAATGTGGAAATCTACTGTTCAGTTTGTATATACTCTGATTTGTCTACATAATGTATATATGATAATTCTTACCCTGAATTTATTATTATTGAACCGTATTTAACATGAATAAATCTTTGCAACTGCATAACATGAGGTAGAGGATATTCGGAAATATATTAATTTTATTCGATTCTTTTATAAATGAATTTGAACATTTCTAAAATAACTAAAACTGTCTTATAAATGTTTAGTTTTCTGTTAGTTTTGAACGTAACAATATGAATTTTAAAATATAAAAACGCCCTTATTACAATAACTATAAATAACTTACATTTAAAAACACAAATAATTTTATCAGTGTCTATTTAAGTACGCCGCCATTTTGAAATCTCTAACTCTGTTGCGAGATACATGTTTTAGGTGAATGTTTCGGTTAACATATATTTGGAAGACATGTAATGTAAGCCATCAAATAGACTTATTTAAAGGTATTTTTAATACATTAAGTACATATTCTAGCTCTTCAAGATTTTAACCTCAAATAAATGAGTATTAAGATTTA